TATATTTAAGAGAAATGATGCCGGCATCGCTCGTAGCACGAATATATAAATTTGTAAAAAGTACATTATTCATGGAAGAAAACGAATTAAACTCCGTATTATATTGTGCACACACACGCGCACACACTTATATATATATATAAATATATATAAACGCAAACAAACGCGCGTTTTAATGAAAATAAACATGGAAAATCAATCTTGACGCATAAATAATTCTTCCACGATAGGAATATGTCAAGTGGAAATAATTGCAATTTCTTATGTTGATGTTGCGTTGCTATGTTTGAAAAGTGATCGACGAATTTTCAGTTAAATTTCTTGCATATAATAATATATATATATATATATATATATTGTTTACTTTGAATTCAATTTTTATTTTAATCCGTGTTTTTATTTATTCGTTAATTTTATTACGTATATATATATATATATACTTTTTAGAATAATTAGCAAAGAATTGAAATATAAAGTACATCATCATTCTTGTCTTGTTTGTATATCCTGGTTTTTGTTTTATGTATTATTTTCTCTTAAAAAAAAAAAAACTTAAAATTGAAAAGATAAAATATTTCTATTGATTATTACTTAAATAAAAAGATTCACCTCTTTAACATGTACTCTTGTCTGTAACAACAACAATAGTTCGATAAATAGAATACCATTGTTTAGCGGATTTATTAGCCATACATAAATACACAAGACTAACTACTACCACCCGAATAAAGGAAAATACCTTAATGCCAATAGAATATCGTATGGCACAGCGTTGACGAGAAAAACATTAACATTATCATTTCTTCTTGCAACAAGAATCAGGAGAAGAAACACGATATGATATACATATACGTATACATATATATATATATATATCATATAAACTATTTTTATATATAAGCGTTATACATCTCAGGTAGATATGAAACTGAAAGAAAAAAAGAAAACGTGTGTGTGTCCGCAACATTAAACAAAAACAAAAAAATAAAAAAAATATATAAAAATTAAAAAGAATAAAAAAAAATAACAAAAAGATCAGAACTTTATAGGTTGTAATTAAAAGGTAAAAAGAAGTAATTGGTTAAATAATATATTTCAATTGTTAATAATTATGTAAATTGGATGTTGATATAGTTATTTGTAGATATTATTTAGGAGTTCTGTTTTCTTTCTTCGTTCTTAAAAAGTGCATTTAAACAAATACAAAAACAAAAAAAATGTAATAAAAATAATATCAAATATTCATTTATGCGTTTTTTTACTTACACTCTCCGTTCTTGTTGCTTGCTAAAAATAACAACGAATATAGTTGAATATTCTAATCATTGATTAACAAAATTTGATTGCTGTTGTTCTGTTAATCATTTCATATTATTATCGTTCATATGCTGTGTCATACATATCGAATTTTGTTCTATGACAAACACGAAGCTGATATAAATGATCTATGTTGTTGTATCGATCAGCTCAATTTTTGTAGTTACCAAGTTGTACCATTCAGTGATTCTTTGTAAATATTATTGTAATTAATACTTTTATTCTCTCAAGATTATTATTTCTTTGATAGATATGCATACATACATATATATATATACATATATATATATAAGATGAAAGATGCATTTTTATAATTTCTTTTTTCTTTTTCTCAATCCTTCCTTCTCCCTTTTTTATCATTTTGTTTCCCTTATTCTGTAAATATATAGACACATATATATATATATATATATATTATATGCATACGTATACGTATGTTAAATATATAAAAATGAATTACGAGAGACGACAAATAATTGATTTATAATCTATGAGAAAGAAAAAAATGGAGATAATCGGTGCCAAAATGGGGCGATCATCTTAGAAGATCACTCGGTAGAGTAAAGAAAAAAAAAAAAAAGAAAAAAAGTAATAATAATAATATAGATTTTGTATACGCTATTTATGAAAAGAGAATGATGCTCGACGACCAACGGAAAGATTGAAGAAGTTCCTCTTACGAATAGCTTATCCATAATTTTATCATAAATTCATTAGTACTTGCGATTAGATAATTATTGTTGCTTTTTGTTATCGCGAACGTATACAGTAGTTTGATGAAAAAGTGTAAATTTATTTAACGTTGACAACAACAACAACTACAATTACAACAAATTATCAATAAAACTATTTCTTTCTTGCAAAACGTTTATTATCATCATCATCATCATCATCATCACGTTTTTTCATGTTTCCTATTTTGACATTTTTTTGTTTTTCATAGTTTTTTTTTTGTTGTTTTTTTTTTAAGTCTACATTACAGTATGTATGTATGTATGTATGTGCAATTGCGAATAATCGTGAATTTTTATTTGTTTAACAATTGTTTCGTTGAAACTAATCTCTTATATGCCTTTAAAAAAACAAAAAATCAAAATTTAACATAAGATTGAAATTATTTGATTTCAATTATAAAAATTGAAAGACATTCTATCAACTCTCTTTCTTCCTATCTTCCTATGAACCCGTTCCCTTTCTTTTTCATTTAAACAAAAATGAAAAATACCAAACGTGAAAAAAAAACAC